TGGTATGGCACAGCATAGAAGAGAAAACCCCTCTGGTCAGGATTCGGCAGTATACCTACACCTAAAGGAAAAAGGTCACTCCTTTGAAGACAGTCAAATACGCATCCTAGACAGGGAGGAGGACTGGTTCAAAAGAGGTGTGAAAGAGGCCATTTATGAAAAGATGGAGAAGCAAAGCATGAATAGAGGGGGGGGGGGGGCATCTATTGTCTGCCACACACAAAACACCTCTCTCTGGGCATCTCCTAGCTCCAATTATGCAAATACAATCAACACCTGGTTGTGACTAACAAATTATGTGGATTGGAGCAACATTCACCATCATTATTATTTCCAGATAATGTTTTTGTACAATTCATTCTGAATTGAGAAAGCTGGTTGGATGTCCAGTGAAACGTCTTCAAGAAAAATACAGCAAGTCCAGTTGCCTTGACTTATTTTTTTATAGATATACCATGACCTGGATGAATGAGAACCTTCACAGACAAAGGTTGACTCAGGTATATAATAGCTAGCATAACTTAGCTTAGGTAAGCTTAGTGTAGCCCGGGCCTGCCCTGGCAGTCCACCTTGGCATGGTGGCAGGCTTACCATCTTCTGGCCAAAAATGCCTTTTCTTAAGCAAATTCTTTTTTTGTGAATCTGTTGTAAGGTTTCTTACCTGGAGATCCTGCATATAACTGCACTTCCTGTTGCAGGGTGACAACACTGTCTTACAATTAGCAGTATTAGTATTATCCACCTGCCATTAGCGCTTTCTCATTTGCCTGTCTATTGGATAGGCAGCTCAGTGGACAACTAAAAGGAGCTCACATGGCAGACTAACAACACTGCTGCCAATTGTGAGGCAGTGGCTTAGTGTTGTTAACTTGCAACAGGAAGTGCTGTCACTGGCGGGATTTCCAGGTATGAAACTTTGCAACATAGTCACACAAAAAATTGTTTAGGAAGGTGTATACAGTGAGCCACAATGCCAAACATACTGAAATCTAGATTTAGAGTTTGCATAGACTTTAGGTTTTTTCACATATAGGTCACCTTCCTGCCTCCAGCCTATGACTGAACAGTGAAGGAGAAGCAGCAGACTGTTGAGGTCATCCCTTTATTCTTTCCTCCGGTCAGCATGTTCTTTGTCAGCAATTGAGCACTGCAGCACACCTCATTGGCTTCCAGAACTACTCCTCACACTCTCAGGGTTATTCACAAAAGGGTGAAGAGTTTGGAGAAGGCAGGAGAAGTGAACAATCTAGGACAACATATCTGTTTTGGTAAAATTCTCCAATTCAGCTCACTTTCCAGTTCAGCTATGTTGTCCTAGATTGTTCACTTCTCCTGCCTTCTCCAAACTCTTCACCCTTTAGTGACTAACCCTGTCCGTGATCTACTCTATAGGGGATAGCGAGTCATATTTAGGAAATTACATTAGTGGTGTTTGACATTTTCTTAGCACATAAGTGTATTATATTTGGCGTTCCCGATTTGAAAATGATCGTTGTGTAGCTATCATGTTGATACAAAGGCTTCAATAACTTGTTCTGACTTTGCTTTCTGTACGCTTGTTCCAGGTCAGCATTAAGGCCAGAGACAGCCAAGTACCTAGTATTTCAGAACTGGAATCCCCAGCATTTCTTTAGCATGTTATCAATAATGAAAAATGGGAACAGTTTATTGTCCAGATTCATTTATTGCTATAGGTAAAATAGGAGATCATAACAATTCACCATCAATGCAAAATAAACATATTAAAACCAACACAAGCTAAAATATATCAAAGCTTCTTCTTCTCAAAAATTAGAAAGATATCAGTGAACATTAATATACAACATATGTGACACATAAAACACAGCTGAGAACTATCAGAAAGAAAACCAAATCATAAATAATAGTCTATGGCACTAATAAGAAGAAAAACAAGAGACCCGAGCAGAAATGCAGGTTTTCTTTACACTCAATGTACTTACAAAGTATCTCTCACAGCCTTAAAAGACTTCTGGGAAAGCCCAGTGGCTAACTGAATCAATACCATATCTAAATCTAACACATTTACATTCATTACCATTAAAGGAGAATCAAAAGACCACAAATCAAGAGAGACAATTAACGGACATCAACAATTTTTCTATCACACTAGGCTAGCACACTGTGCCCAAGCACGTTTCACCTCCAAAGTCCAGTTTTTTTAATAGTGTGATCGCTCCCTATCCTCCGTCCCCTGGCTTGCTTGAAGAAGTGGTCATGGGCAAGGTTCAGTTTCACTCGGGCATGGTATGCATCTGTGTGATCGCTAACCATGCCCAAGAACTGAACGTGAACGCTGGAGCAGATTAGATCCATCTGTGCCCACTCTGGTACCAAGGGTACAGATCACATAAGTGTACTTGGGCCTATGGGCACAATGTGGGCACAGGCACAATGTGAGCACAGGTTGCCAGGGAAGGGGAAGGAATCATGCTCAGGCCCAGTACAAAGCAACAATGCCTAGTGTGATTTCTTCGTCTTAGAGCTGACAAGACTGTTGTACAGAAGACAATTTAGATGCCAAAATCAATATTAAGAACCTGACAGCAGATCTAATGCTCGTTTGTGGATAATGGTATTTGATCCATTTTAATTGGCATATTACAACATCTAATATAAAAAGGAACTTGTACACAGATCCCTTTATAGATACATTTCCAGTTTGGAAAGCATTACAGTAAAGACCCCATCATCAAGTACACTGGCAATACATGACTATTGCTTAGCAAATATAATGTAATCCACTCAGTGGTAGAAAATAAGAATTCACTTGAAACAACAAATGTTACTTTCCGTGCTAAAGAATAAACATATTACAGAATCTGATGCCACACCAGTACACAACAGCACATTCCAGTCATGACACACTTAGTTTACTATTTGGTATAAAAGAAGGTAACAAGCTTAATGGGACAGTCTACTAAAATGGATAGGTATGGATTGATCCTGGTGAAGAAATCGCCCTCTGGGTTTTAATAACTCTTTGATACTCCAGCAACCAGATCTCCCCGATGCCCGCTCCCATCTCACTTGTCCTGATGCTTTCTCTATAACATAAGTGAAAAATATGGAGTGTGATACCCTACTGCTATGACCCTGGTAGGTGGGTGGAGATGGGAATCTTCTTTCCAGAAGTCTCACTACTATGTCCCAAAGAGATATATCTGTATTAGTCTTTAATGCAGCAATAAATAGAGTAGCAAGAGTTTAAAAGCTTGTGCTATCTCACCACCTCTCTAAAACTTTATTAGTGTTTCAAAGTTCAAACCGTTTCATAAGCATGGACTCAGCATTCAAAAGAGACGAGCTGACCAGAAAAACATTCAGGGTCTTTTTTTTTTTGAACGATTAAACACAATTGAAAAAATGAGTCTAGAAGTGCCTATGAATGTTCCTAATATTGTCACGTGGACTTTCTGAACCTGATTCTACATAGATCAGACGCTGCTATTGCAGAGGTACAAGTAAACTACCGGAAAGGACTTACTACTGCCTTCATGTTCCCTACGGCAGATATCATGTCCCTGGTCTACCTCTGCATGCCAAATTTTGTCACTGACTCTCATTTTTAGTTCCCACAATATTTGGGGGTCTCTGATCATAGTAGCATTTCAAGGAGCTTCTAATCACGCAGCGCTACTGAAAGTGAACTGGACATATGTACCTTTCCTTTTCTCCACGCCACTGTTCAGCTGCTAGGAGTTAAGAAAGGAAACTTCTTGTAAGCTCCGATTTGCTCCACCCATTGCCTACACAGAGGTGTTGGCTTTCCATGCTCCCTCGTGAGAGCTCTAGGCCAATACCATGCACCATTGCTATTTGCTATCACATGGTTTGAATCGCATTCTGTTCTATACCTGGTGGTACTGGCCATTTTCTTTGCTCCCATTGGCTAAACAGGACGAAAGGGAAACGAGGGGAGTACATGCTGCTCAGGAGGAGGCATAAAAGCACACCTGTTGCTTTGCCCTGTACAGGCAAACTGCTAATTAACGTGAAAACCAACACCATAGCAATAAGTACACTCAATCAATGAGCTGCTTAATGCTATCCAGAAAGCAGTGCACCTATGGCAATATCATAGCCAGATGGTGTGGTGTCTCTTGACACATGATTCTGTGCTGTCCAACCTACCTCTACTCCTTGTCGGCTTGATCACACTGATCATATAGCAAGAAAGCATTTTTCTCAATGTAGGGCAGTCCAAAATGAACTTCAAACACTGTCTATACAGTGCATTGCATAAGGGGTGTGTAATGCTTTCTGAGACAGAAAGAGAAAAAACAAAACTAGGTACCCATTCACATAAGATGACAGTCAGTCGTTATGGAAGGGTCCAGTTATCAAGCACACATGTATTGCCTATCGCATGGCAGGGACACAGTCTGTAAATGCATTTATGTACCTCTGCAATCACAGTGGAGGACAGCTGAAAAATGTCCAATTTTGGCCAATAAAAGATCCTTTCCATGTTGGTGCTCTGATGTTACCTGCTGCTGCCCCATAACCTCCTACAATTATCATGCACACATAAAGAAATTGCAGGTATTGGTTGAATTTCATCCCAGGTGCACGAGCACACTACTAACATCAGTAATCTTAGTCCATCTTCAACAAAAGTTATTCACAAGTGATAATTCAAACAGCTCATTTAGCCAAGACCTAGTTACAATGACACAGTCATTACGTTTATTCATCAATATCTGCATGCTAGCAAATATTAAACATGGCTCTGAAAAAAGGTGTACAAATGTGCCACAAGCAAGAAGTATAGTCAGTTAGAAAAAAAAATATGGGCCTGGAAAACAGTCGAAAAAGCTATTAAATGCTAAATAAAAGAAACCTCTGCTGAATATTGCAGCATCTATCTGGGTTACCATATCAATCTCCATATTTACAATGGCTCTTATTTTACTAATAACAATAAAAAAAAAGACAAAATGGTGCCCTCCTTCAGTGTAAGAGAAGTGCGATGTATCATGTCATTCCACTGCAGTAGAAATAGGAAAACTCTTATAATAGAGCTGTGAAGAATATTAAGCCCCAGGTCAAACTATAATTTATAGTTCTTTATTACCTGGAGAACGATACTGAAGACTAGTGTACATGTCACAATTGACAGTAAAGCATGCCGATCTGCATTGTGCTCACATAACCTTATTGTGCTTAGCTTATTGGAGAAACAGGATTTATTTCCTCAATCTGATCACAACATGATTGTTTTGTACCGCCCTGTCTATTCTTTCCTGCAGTGGAGTACAGGTTTGAATTCATTAGAATTAATAATCTTGTTTAGGAAACATTGATATCTTTACATGGCAAATCATGTACACATTGTTACTTTGTGGGTATTTCTGTCATTATCATCTGGATAGTTCAGAATACAGAGACCAATGCTGCTATACAATAAAAGGTATAGGCTACAGAAGAAGAAATATGACATAGGCTAATGCACACACACCTATCTTTTCCAAATAATCAATCCAAAATAAAAAAAAAATGGCACCTCTTAGACTCTTAACATTGTAAGGCAATCCTTGGATTCTAGATCCTGACCCAAAGAAAAGTGGGTTTGCATTGATCAGCACCCACATTGGAGAAGTGGCCATTCTAGGTAATGTGTCCCTGAATCCACAGCTTCCTGAACAATGGCAGTTCAACTTGTGTTAAATAAGAGCATTGACCGATGACCGTTCCTTCTACTGGGACTACGGATTTGGCATGCTTTGGGATAGATTCTCAAAAAGGCTTTCAAGATCAGAATCAACGCTCATACACATGGAATCCATGAGATCAGTACCTTGCTGATTCGCCATGTCATGTGACATGCTATGAAACATCGAATCGTAATAATTTGTTTGAGGTACACTGCTCGCTGCCATACTTGAACATGGCATTTCATTGGCTCTACTTGGTGCCATGTGACTAGAATCTCTTCCACCCATATCTTTAAAGGAAGGAGCATACGGGCTATTTACAAAAGGTGCAGAAGAATAATTGGGTTGGGAGACATTCTGCATACATATGGAATCTTTGTATGTCTTCTCAGAAATATTGAAGCTGGGTTGTTTGAGGGAACTGTTGGATTGCAGCAGGGTATTGTAATCCAAGTGGCTGGTGGATATTTGTTGAAGTTTTCTCACATGACCCCCCTTCTGTGAAACTGTGGTTGCTGGCAAGCTGTTGTATAGGAAATTCTGGTGATTGTTTAAGCTTGATGCTTGGTTTGGTATCACTGACCAAGGGCCATGATGCATAGTTGTAGCATTTATTTGTACAGGCTGGGTTCTTGTTTCTGAAGGCATGTTGAAAGAATATAGAGAGGCACTGCTCTGCATCATGGGCTCTACTGAAGATTGTGAACAACTTTCAACAGAAAATAAAGGTTCTGTAAAACAAATACAAAGGGTAAGTGTCTGTTCTAATATTCATCAAATATTCAGTGAAGCTATAATGACTAATACCGTGTTTCCCCGAAAATAAGACAGTGTCTTATTTTCGGGGTAGGTCTTATATTACAGACATCCCCGAAGATAGCGCTAGGTCTTATTTTCGGGGGATGTCTTACTTTCGGGGAAACACGGTAGCAGGGTGAAATCAAAATCAGAGAAGCAATCTTTACCTGGTTTAATCGTTCGCTCTCTGTCATTGAATCTTGATAAGGTTGCGGAGGGGCTTTCTGCTTTCTCCATTTGTTGCACTTTTTGAGAATCTACCAAACACAACAGCTATTAGTAATGTTACCATTATCGTTCCTTACAGGAAAACATTATCATGGGTGATGTTGGCCAAACACATTATTCAATAATAAACAGATGGACCTATATTTTAACTCCAACACACACATACAACATTCACACATTCATAGACAAATCAATATCGAATTCCAGAGCCAGTCCAATCCAGCAAGTACTATAAATGAGCAAGGCGACATTGACTTCCAATGAGCACAATAGATAAGTTAGAGCACATACAATATCCTATGGTTGTAATTCAGTAAATCATGGTGCTGACCCCTGCACAGACACCAGGTAAAGTGCATCTATTCCCAAAACTGTTTATCAAGGATCAGAACTCCAGTCATGTTTTATCGCATTTGTATGCTCTGATTGAGAGATTCTTTCACTTCCCGTCTGGTAAAAAGGTTGTCCCCTGAACAGGAAGTGAGGGGAAATCTCTCTAATAGCAACACAGACAAAAGTAAAAAATGTTTGTTTTTTTAAGTCGAGGAATGTTAGAATATCTGGAAGCTTTTCATCAGTAATATCCGTTATAACAACCAATATCAATTTGTTTATATAATGTTTAGCTGGAATTCGAACAGCTCTAATCATTCACTATATTTTATATAATAAAAGACGAAGAATCCTATATTGTTACTCACCCCATAATATACGTAAAAGATCCTCATTTTTTTTAATCTTTTTTGTATAGTGATCTATATAGATAGTAAAATAAAAAAAGTTACAGTTAATATATACAATGTATTTAATTATTACATATATCTGGCATACCATAATACAAACTATATCAACTGAATTACTGCATCTGTGATACAGCTATGAACACATTACCATGTGCTTTTTCAATTCACGACATCCAGACATAGTGATAATAAAAAAAAGACCTGAACTCTGGAAGTTGTGCCCAAAACAAAAAACAAAGAAGGGCAAAAGACTAATTGGCAGTACTGACTGGGGTCCTCCGATTAGTAGCCTACCATACCTTTGTAGCCCCTAACGGCTTTAGTGGAGTAGCTACTAGAAATGTAGTGTTGCCAGAGCTGTAGTCAGTCTGGCTGAATTATAATTGGCATTTATTTGGTTAATCCCAGGTGTTCTTACGTTGATTGCACCTGCCTGAGTGGGATGTGACCCTGCTGCAGTGTGGGGCAACTAATGGGAGGACATGATGAGTGTGCGTGGCTCACCAGCCAATCACTGGTGGTTTTATGGCCAGTGGTGCATGCTGGGGAAACGCATATATACTCAGGGAAATTGGCATGTGATCTCAGTCTTATCGGTCACCAGTAAAGGGTGGTAGATGCTATTGGGTACAACCGGTTGCTAAAATCCCTAGACAGGCTATGGAAGACCAGTTCATTCCGGAAGCTCCTTTTGGGGGAGAGTGCTACACCTTATGCTGCACTGTGTATCTATGTGCAGGCAATCATCTTGGTAGAGGCAGGGCTGTACTTCCCTATATCGGAGCTGTCCCCCTAATGATTAGTGATCCGATAAGTGATGGGACAATATTCCAGAAGCAGCAGGAGAGGTGCAGAAAGCACAGATCCCCAGAAAGAATATAGGAAAATCCTTGTATTGATCCTGAGATACAGATTAAGCAGAAGAGTAGTGACATCACCAAATCTGACTTTATATCTCATAAGACTAGCAGTCACAGGCAGATATACAGCTCTGAGGCTGCCTAGCCACACTTGCATGCTAGGAAATGTACTGCAATTTTTCAGGAGGAATTTCAGACAAAAAAAGGTAATTGTTCAGGGTACTGAATTTCTAGATGTTCCTTCTAACATAAACATTAAAGTGGACCTTAATTTAAAACATGAAGATGTGCTAATTATTATACATGGGCTTTCAGTGTAGAAACATTAACAGTAAAACAACAATATTAATGGACATCAATAGTAGGGGACTCGTGCAAATGTAAGGTTCTGGGTCCTGTTCAATGTACATTTTGTAATGATAGGCATCAAACTTCAAATGTTTGCATGTAAAAGATGTGGAATGTGGTGTACCTTCCAGGTATATGCAATCCAGTGTTCAGCTTTACCTCAAGCTTGCTGGAAGCCTGCAATTGTACCTGCAAGATCCCCTTGTTCCTGGTTCTCATTTGGCACCACGCTCCATTTACACCAGACATCATTCTTTGTCACCTTGCATCATTCATTGTAACATTTCCAGTGTTATCCCTGACTTGGTTCCAGTCCCTTTGTAATGAGTAGTGAAGAGGGGAGCCAGTAACTGACCATTATTGACTTTTACTAATGGGCCCCTGTTTAGTAGCACTGGTTGCACATGAATAATACTGTATCATCCCATGAAAAAGATAGTAAAATAGACTGTACTTAAGGTTGTTAGAATTGTGCTGAGACTGAAGAAGGTACTCGGGGACCAGATCTTAAGGGAATCCATCCTTTGACCACTGTCTTTTTTTTTGTACAGGCATTTAAAAGGAGAACTCCAGGAAATCTAAAAATTCAACCTTGCTGTGGGGCTATCCCCACACTGCAAGGGTTAACTGCTCATTTTGGACTAGGGGATAAAATAAAGAAAATATTCTCAACTGATCCTTGGTCTTATAGTGGTGACCGATCACCTCTCTCCAGCAGCTGCATTAGACATACGTACGCAGGTTCTTAGACTGCCGGAGCCTGGGGGAGAAGAGGCTGTGGGGAATTATTAGCAGCCAAGCGGGACTGGGGTTCAGGTGAGTAGATTTTCTTTTAGTCCCACTGCAAGGGTTAATTTTTAGATTTCCTAGAGTTCTTTTTTAAGCATGGGATGTAGTAAAAGCATATTGATTCTGTGTTATATTTATCAGGAAACAAGTTCTCACCTTTTTCATAAGGTATGTATCTGAAATCCATAGGTTCACTGACTTCTTGGTCAGATGGTCTTTTCAACTGCATTTTCACTGTTGTAACTTCAGTGATAGGAAAGGGAAAAGAGGGTGTCTTGAAAACAATGGCTACTTGACGGTGCACATCAGCTTGTCCAAAGATCCCTTTGTTTTCCCAATTGTCAGAAAAAAATCGGACCTCAATGTCATCTAAAGAAAACAAAAATTGAATATATTGAGGCCAACAATTACCTTGAAGAAGCATAGTTAGTTACTTGAAATGGTCATACGACATCTTTTTGTATTGCCTTATTATCATGTTTTAGTCACCAATTAAGCACAATTTTATCTGTGTTCTATGGTTTCATCTGGTCTCCAGATAGAAGAACTGTGACCTGTAGGACATTCATTATGTTCAGAGAAAATGTGAACAAAAGTTATGGATTTAAGTCTATTTGAAATGAACATGTTAAAGCTTTTATGGGAGTTTAGTGACAAAGTTTACTTTAAATCCAAGTCACATTACATAATTGATGATTTACTGCCAAGCACAATTGTACCCTGTACGGTCAGATTAACTCCAGCAGAGTAACTGAAGTCAAATGAGCTACAGAAAAAGAGTTCCATTCATTCAGAAGACTGTGCTGCTTAAAGATTATTACCACTTCTGCAGCCAAATTGGGATAACGCCTTCTTTCTATTTGATACATGTTCCCATTCCCATTGCACTTTTTATTTTAACTTTGCAAAATACCTTTTTACAGGTTTTTACAGATTTAAAAATCTTAGATACCTCCCCTTCTATGTAGTTTTAGTTTTGGATAGAGTAAGAGGGGAGGTTAAAATAAGGGATGCACCAATACCGGTTTTTCAATATCGAGTACAGATATTTTTTTTTTCAGTACTCACCGATACCAAATACCAATACCGGAAAGCCCATTAAGGAAGCCAGGCGGCATATAATGACTCGTCACCTGGCTTCCCGATTGGTCAGCTTCTCGACCAATCAGGGAGCCAGGCAGCGAGTCATTACACGGTGCCCGGCTTCCCGATTGGCTGGGAAGTCGGCTCCATGCTTACTCGTCATTACACGCTGCCCAGCTTCCTGATTGGCCGGCTCCATGCTCCCTCATCACCAAGTGGCGAAGGAGCATGGAGCCAGCTTCCCAGCCCATCAGGAAGGCAGGCAGCGTGTAATGACTCGCTGCCCGGCTTCCTGATACCGGACGTTCAGGGTATTGGGTTAGGCATTGGAGCATTTGGGCCAGTACAAGTACTGGCCCAAATCCTCGGTATCGGCACCGATACTAATACTAGTATCGGTACAGTTGCATCCCTAGTTATAACCAGTCAATTTTTTTGCCATCTGCGTCTCATTGGGGAGATTTCTATTCACTTCCTGTCTGATAGCCAGAACAGGGCAATTCCATTTAAAATATAAGTCAAATAGCATGTTAGGGCCCATTTTACACATTTAAATCCCACAAAGTTAGAGTTCTCCTTTCTTTTATCCTATACGCACACCTAACATATTCCACTAATAATATCTAACCTAGAGCAGAAGTAAAAGTTGTACCTTTTTGAACTTTGTCACATAGTAGGAATATCTCATCGCCTCCAGCTGCACTGCCGCAATTTTTATTCACACGACAGATCCGTAGCTCAGCAGTGTTAGGAGCTCCTAGAATGATAAAACAGTTAGACTCCGCAACTACAATGCTGGATCCAAATAATCACTCCACAATCAACTTAATCTACATTAAACATCTTGTCTATTCCAATGTTTGGTTGAACAAACAAAACAAATCCTCTAGAGCCTTGGTTCTCAACTGGTGGGTCGTGACCTAAAAGTGGGTCGCGACCCCGTGTTCAGTGGGTCGCCACGTGCCTTCCACTTTTCTAGATGAGTGGCTCCTCTGCCTCCCCCTAGCGCAGCACTGTCAGGTCTCTCGCCAAGCAGCCATTCATATGCTGCTCGGTGCCAAGTGTCAGCTTGAGGTGGGGTGGGATGGAGCTCCATCCATACGTGCATTGCTTACAGCTCCCTCATGTGTCCTGTAGAGGTGCCTGGACTGGCATCACATTCTGGCTCCCGGCACCTCTACAGGGCATGCAAGAGAGCTGTACAAGCATTACGCATATGGATGGAGCTCCGTCACAGCACAGCAGATCCCACTGGACCGCAGCCTGAGGATCCACTCCAGTTCTCGTAAGGAAGGGAGACTGGGTGGACCTTAAAACATTTTTTTGTAGTGTGTACCCTAATTCTGTGCATTCCATTGCAGTGCGACTTGGGTCGTGACTTGATGACCAAGGACAAATGTGGGTCCTGAGGTTACACAGGTTGAGAACCACTGCTCTAGACCATGCCTGCATGCAGGGCCGGCCTTAGGCCTTTAGGCGCCCTGTGCGAGAAAGCTTTACAGCGCCCCTCAGTGGCCACACCCTTTAGTGGCCACGCCCCCGTAACCACACCCATTTCCCCCAATATATGCACCATTTAAAGACTCCTATTTTGTTAAGCCGCAAAGAAACATATTAAAAAGTGATGCTCTGTGGGTTGAGTTGCAGTCACATAATTCAGTTTTGCTGTATTAACTGCAAGTACTTAAAGTGTATGTAAACCCTAACAATCATCTTCTCTTATTTGGTCCATTTTGATCTGCTAACTATATAATTTAGATTGTTCTTATACACTGCCTGTCCAGAAAGCAAAATATTTAATTGGACCGCTTTTAGCTTTGATTACGGCACGCATTCACAGTGGCAGCGTTTCAATAAGCCTATGCAATGTCACAACATTTATTTCCATCCAGATGGAATAGTAGTGATCTTGTAGGGACGATGGGAGAGTCAAACCACTGTGTAAATTCTTCTCCTGCATATCCCAAAGATTCTCAATGGGGTTAAGGTCTGGACTAAGTGGTGGGCAATCCATGTGTGAAAATGATGTCTCATGCTCCCTGAGCCACTCTTTCACAATTTGAGCCCGATGAATCCTGACATTGTCATCTTGGAATATGTCCAAAGCGCCATCAGGGAAGAAAAAAATCCATTGATGGAAAAACCTGGTTATATTCAGGTAGGCAGCTGACCTCATTTTTTGGGCACATAACATTGCTGAGCCTAGTAAAGATCCAATGGAAGTCTCCAACCTATTTGATTAGCAAAACCTGTTGATTTTTCCAGAAATCTGGTAACTTCTCTTTCTGCCTGTACAGAAAGAGGGCTTATGGAGAGGAAGAGGTGTAGGAGATGGAGGACAGGGCTGTGGTAGGCAGGGCTGACACCATGTGCTGTGTACATTGTTGTTACGGCAAAGCGAAAGGTAGGAGCACACTATATTTCTGGCACATCAACAGTTATTTTGCTGTACCTGCAGTGTGTTTAAAGGGATAAAACATGGGGTGTTGTGCATTTACTAAAATATATGCTTTAAAGCTAAACTTAAGCCTTTTGTTATCTGCAATAGATAAAAAGAGGTTGCAGGCAAACATACTGTATAAATGTCCTATATTCCTTTGATAATATTTTCACCTGCAAAAGCAGCAGACTCCTGTGGCAGGCTGCAGAAAGGACAGCTACTAGCGGTGTGTAAGCAGCAGTCTGATACTTGCCGTATCTTGCCGGGTCACAGTTAGAGCTATACAATCAGCAGGAAGCACGAGTGCGATTCATCACGGGGTGTGTTGGACCACTGCTCACTAATAGATAGCACAGGTCCTCTTAGGAGCCTTGTCTGAAGTTTGTATGTTGCTATGGCAAGTAAAAATTATATCAAAAGGAATGCAACACATGTTTCCCTGCACCCTCTATTTCTCTATGTCATGTAACATAAATCTTCAATTGGCTTTAATGAAGTTGCTAGAGAGTGCATGATGGCAGTAGATTAATGCAATTAGGATTTCCCTCTAAAAGTATTAATCAGTCTAAAGGAAAGGCCACTCCAGCAAAATATGGTGGAGGGGAAATATCATACCCACTCCTTCATGACCTTACTGACCTACAGTATATGTCATTTTTATTACTGAAGTCATGAAGCAGAATATAAATATCAGGCAATTATCATTGCATGCATATAATACTGTCATTTGTATTCTGTAAGGTGCAATAATAGAGGGTGACATGAATAGGGTAGCCTGGCGGGACATAACTGGTTATAAGAAATTACGAAACTTACGGTTATCATAAATGGGGTTGGAGACAACAGGTACCAGAGCTCTGGTATAGTTCCCTTGTTCGTCAGCAAGATAGACTTGGAAGCACAGTCGTACAACATTGAGGTCATAGTCTTCAATTGTGAGTAGCTGCTCTTCTCGTACTGCAGGAAAACAGAGGTCAAGAGCATAAGTCAAAGATGTACTACAAAACTATCATATAAATCAGAAACAATCTTCCATTAAAGATCAGATATCTCCGTTTTTAGCAGGCACTAGTAGTCTACATCTCCTGCCCCATCTCATGGTGACACCAATCACCACAATTCACAAGTACAGTTAAAGTAGTAATAAACCCTCAAACTTTGTTCCATTAATGAAACCATATCAAATTAATATACATTGCCCAGCAAAGCACTGACAGTCATCATGTTTTTAAACAGCTGGCTTCAACTCTCTCAGCTCCGCTTCCCTGAACTTCCTGTTGAGTACAAGATCACAAGGGACATTGCGTAGACTGAAAACACGAAGTGCACAGCTCACCCCTATCATGCGTCCCCGCAATTCACATTTGGTGCATCTGTACAAAGCACAAGGGACATTGCAGTCTCTAGCAGGCGTCCATGTACTACATGAGTGGGCAAACTTTGGCCCTTCAGCTATGGTGAAACTACAAATGCCATTAGGCATTGCAAAACGCTAACAACCACCAGCCTGACTTCCAGATGCAGAAGCATGACAGGATTTGTAGCTTCACCACAGTTGCAGGGCTAAAGTGTAGCATCCCCGAATTCCACTAGCCTGGAGGAGCAGGGTCTTGCTTTACCATGCCTGTATATTTGTGGAGACCCACAGCTTATTAACACACATAAGGGGGGCACGATGGGACCCTGCAAGGGAAAGAAGCCACCCTAAAAACAGGATATAGGGCCAGCTCATTCTGCAGCAAACATAAACTTTACAAAATGAAGGAGAAGCATCCATTGTAAGCGATTTAATCAGCATTTGAAATAGCTTAAAAGCATTTTGACTTTTATATCCCTTTAATGTTTCTGGTGGTACCTGAAACCAGGACCTCAAATCTGCAAGCCAGCAACACTGATTAGCTATTTGCATATAGTTTAACTGTGTCTGGATTGAAGTAGGAGAGTCTTTAATCTATGGCGGGCCAGTGATAGCATTGGCAAGCCCGTCTCACTGTCTCATGGCTGTTGTGCATTTGGAGCTGAAATGCAGTTTTTTTTTTAACGTATTTAGTCTTCTGATTATAACATAATATATATAATTACCTCTTGGTAATGAAGAATCTCCCTTTAAAGATTATGAACGCTCACCATGAGATCCATTACATATAGAGAAATATCTCCATCCACAAGCACAACATAATCTCAGATATCTTCAGCTCTGATAACTTGACATTGTTACACCCACATACATACATACATACATACATACTGTACATACATACATACAGATATATGCAGGCTCAAACATACATACACTATATAAAAATTGACACTTGCTTATAAGCCAACTTGTGTATTAGGTTTATTGGTTCTTTAATATACCCACAAGTACACAAGTATACAAGAAAGTAGATGGAAAATGTACAGAAGGGAAAACAATATTGAGTCATTCATGACAATAACAGGATTTACTGAAATCTCTGTGAATAGCACTAGGTGGCAGTTCTCATAGGTAGAACTGAGAAAAGCACCTTTTCCATTGAGGTTTTCTAATCTATCAGGGTACTCCCACATGGTATCAGGTTGGGAGTTATTTGTGCTGTACCAGGATTGGCTACGACTCAGGGTTTATAGAAAATGGGTACTAAAGACGTACAATAGTTTAATGCTTAAAGTCAGGAGCTGTGATATCAGTTTCAGGTTGGTTTCTGCGCTGCAGCTTTTCAGTTCTGTGTGAGCTAATATATTCCATTCTTTCTTGGTGCAGATAAAGTGCTCCCACATTCCACAACGATGCCTAATACAACACTAGCACAACAATATAACTGCATGATGAAAATCTATGCATAAATCTATCAATGTAAAATTTGAGTAAGCCAACTGTCCCTCATTTGGAGGGACTGTCCCACTTTTGGAACCAAATCCCTCTTTCCTGCTTTTTGGTCTGGTCTGATCTATAGACTTCTATAAAAATGAACTATTAAACTACCAAAAATCTTTTTGTACAATAAACATTTTAAATCCTCTAAAGCCGGGTATACACATGTCGAATTTCAGCCTCTTCCTGATAAACCGTGATGCTGTTGGCACCCTTCCACCCGGCAAACCCTTTTTCGGCTGAACAGAGCTTGCTAAATCAGCTGCCAGCTCCGTTTGGGTATTCAGAATACAAAGCAAACAGCGGGGGATTCATCCATCAAAGCTCGTAAGCATTGATGGAGAAATCTGTTCTAATTTTTTCTTTGTTCAGCCTGTGGGTTGAACTAAAAAAATAAACATGTGTACACCCGGCTTAAATTAGAGTATTTGTTCTTTTTAAGAGTTAGTATAAAGTAAAAATTGGTCTGCGTAATTAGGGGCGTGTCAAGGGTGTGTCCTTTGCTTACATACCTTATGCTACAAGGTATCCATGTTTCTTTTCTCAGAAAGTTGATAGCCATGCAATAGTGGTTTCATGCAAAACCAAGTTCAATGGTAGAGTAAAAGAAAACAGTCGGGGTTTTGAAGCTAAACTGTGGGCACCAACTTTCAAGAGGAACTGAACTCTAAAAGCTGTGCCCAAAAAAGGAAGACAAAAGGACTAGTCATCTGTATTGCGTGTTGTCTCCCTGCAGCTGATCTTTTCCCCATAAACGCTGTTGTTAATGGAGACACACACAGTTTACTAGCACACACAAGGGTGGCTCCCTAAGGCTCCCTGCAAGTTAAAGGAGTCACCCTAAAACAGGATATGAGGACCAGTGCTCAGGGGACCAGCTGATTCAATAAAACATCAAGAAGCAGCATCCATTGTAAGTGAATTAATCAGCATTTGAAATAGTGTAAAAACGCTTTTATGACAAACAGATTTGCTCATTCAAGAAAAAGTTTCCAAGTAAGCCACCTTGAAAAGGGGGTCCTAAAGCAATGGTATTCTGCTTGCTTCCACTATATGGTTTTTCTACTTTGACCTTATTCAAAGCTTGAGGGTTTTTTGCGAAGTGCTGGCTTTCTCTTTATGCAAGCATTAAAAACTTAATGGGGTTTTAACCCTTCCTAACGCTATGCAAAACTAAAATAAAATGACTACACATACAGTTTTTGTGCCTGCAGTTGCTCTTTAGCAATGCAACTTTCTTCATAGTTATGGTTCATAGTTATGGGGTCAATGGGGTCTAATGACAACTACCTAATCTACCGAGAGGCTGGCATTGGTTGTGTCGGTGGATTACATGCATGCATGGTTTCTCACACTTGTGCCTTGCTAAAGAATTCATGGGTAGCAATAGCTAGTAAGCCTCTACTGAAATCTTTCAAAGGAGCTTTCCAGGTGTCAAACATGGTGTACAAAGTTCTCTGTGCTTTGCAAGAATCTTGATCGTGCATAGGATTTTGCTTTTATATTTCCGACCAATTTGCTTCTAAAGACCATGTTTCTATTTTTATATATGCAACTCCTCTACTTTTACACAAAAGCCACTTGAACCTTTGTAGCCTAATAACTTAAAGCTGTAGGTGTATTTGAAGAGAATAGTTTCAATGACTTGTTTACCTCAGAACAATTCAGTATCACTGCAGCAAGGAAGTAGATACTGCGGTTTGCAAAAAAAGGTAATCTTACTACAGTGTTATGTGTAGGCATCACACTGTAGGTAGCTGCAGCCCACTAAATGTTCCTCCCTCAGAACTGCCAGCCCCATCAACAAATGCAGTAGATCAAACTCACCGCTATATGTAAAGCTGATAAGGTTAAAGATCTTATGTTGCATTCATTTCCTGTGCACCCACAAATGGGTTTAGAGCCATTGCCCACACTTGTGAATGGCATGGTGGCAAGTGTGTTGGAGTTGGAGAATAGGAAATATATTTAAATGTAAGCATTACATTTCCACTTCTTATAATACTGCATCGCGTGGTAATAATAATATATAATGTCAGAACAGGGTGAAATGGCAGTAACCATAAAGCAGCTACTCAGAATATATACAAGTACAAATAAAACCTCAAACTGAAATCTAGGTGGTTGTTAGTGGTTCCTGAGCTTCTACATCATTACTTCTCCTTGTACATGTTTAGTTACAGTGGCTGAATGATACAGCACCTGTCACTTCATATTGGATCAAAAGAAAACAACATAAGGGTACACCCAAAGCTCCCAAGTGGGCAGAAACTATGGTAAAGAGATGTCTGTGTTGGAGTATCTAAGACCAAGAAACAAGGGGCTGACTGCACCTATAGCAAGAATATGCCTTTTGGGGGGGACTAAGCCTTTAAAAGATATGCAGCTGTGTCATTATAGGCTCTTGACTTCTGAATGAAAGATAATATTACTTTTGGGGGGACTGAGACTTTAAAATATATGCAGCTGTGTCATTATAGGCTCTTGGCTTCTGAACAAGAGATGAAAGTACATTTATATCCTGTAAAATGAGTGTTTAGTACAAAAAACTCACTGTCAACCACTAAAAAGGAAAATCAAATAAATGAGATCACAATCATCTGAAAATAGATATTTCTAACACATTAGTTGTAGTAAAACAGGAAGTTTCAAGTTTAAAAAAGGAAAGGAACAGCTAGTAGACGGAAGTATTTCTTGTCTGCGATTGATTTGAATTGCTCTGAGTTTCTACAGAAAATAACATTCCATTAAGACTGGCAAATATAAACAGTGCAGGTGGGTGCTATTCAGCTTCACTGCATGGGAGAACACATGTCCCGATCATGTGGTGAAAGAAGAACTCTACTTGATGCAGTTACTTTGTAGCCTGCGCATTAAAAAGCCAATATAGTTTTAAATGTAACATTATAATTCTAGAAAACCAACTGTGATTGTAGCTACTCTCCATCATCATATTATATATGTGTACATCTGAATAAGGAAAAATAAGAGGTCACACTCAAACTGCAACTGTAGTTTCTATTGATCTACTCCTGTTAGTTGTATTGGTGTGCAATGAATGAGAAGTGTCCCTGCACACCTTATAATATGAACAAAACAAAAGTAGAGTAAGCCAAATACAGGGTGCTATACATGCCCAAACGGTACAATCCTAGGTATCCTCACATATACGGTAATCATGTAATCAGAAAGATTAAATGGGGCTAGCACACCTAAAGATTATATGTTTATTTATTTAAAAAAAAGTAAGGGGGTCACCCCCAAACATCATTATCCAAACCTACCTTGGCTTTATGCTAGTCTAAGGGTAACTGTGCCATGTGACTAACGTTCAAATCTCATTGGACTTTACTGAAAATAACTGCCACTATCTTGAAAATTACTATCCTGGTGTGTTAGCTTTGTGAAATAGGCTTATAGTAATAGGTAATTCTGCTGCCAAACATCAATCATAACAGATATAAATAAAGTACCAGAGATCAGGACCAACACCTAGCCCATCCAAAGAGAGTGCTTTTGTTATAAATTGTTACTGGTGGGATGACCAACCCATGGCTTCTCAGATTTTTCAGGGACTCCTTTGGTGAAATATTCCAGCTGAAGCACTCAACTTGGTCTCTTCAAGCCATGAAGTCTTGCTCCTTTTGTGGCAGCAATAATTTTTCTAAAATGTGATGTTAAAGGAAAATCCAGGAAAGCCAAGGCATGTTCATGAGACTGTGACACCAAAGTTCAAAAGAAGGTAGAGATGGACTTTACTCTCTAAAGAGATGCTCTCTCCTAACTCTTAAGATCTCCTGGTCAGCTTGTTTAGAGTTCTTCCAAGCCATGTTAACAATCCAGTCACATTTACTTATAGTATCATATAAATGTAGTACTTATCACATAGTATATAACAGCTATGTCTTGTTCACTGAAAATCTACACTGTTGGGATGCACAACCCTCAAAAAAGAAACACGGCTAAAACTGGCTTAGCACATCACGGAAGGGTTCACTTTTTCTGCTTAATGTCTGTTGGTGTAGTGGTTAATCATTCCTCAGTCATTCTTAGTACACTTTCACTTCCTTTTAGACATAAACAGTGGTTAACAAACACCAATTACATTGTCTTTTTTAGTGGAAATATGTTTCCTTGCAAAAAAAAACACCTATTTTACTGAGAATTTGTGTACTTGCACTAAAAACCAATGTCATCACTTGCTACCCTGCAAGCCATTTGATAAGAAGTGTTGTCAATGGACATGAGGAGACTGCTTGTTAAGTCTGTCTAGATGCATTGGTGTCCAATGTATTAGTTGATGCTTCTAAACCTATACACATGCTTATTAAATTGTTAGTACTTTTACTGAGAAAGTGAGAGAATAGATGTCTGAGTCTTTCCCAAACCTAGCTCAGTTATGTATCACCATCCAAGTGTCCAAATGATACCTGTTCATTTAAAACCAACCAATGTCCCATCAACCTACTTTGTTACCATCCATTCAGTGGGATGTAATTTCCACAATCTCTTCTGAAACATCTTCAAGCTCATGCAACCTGTTTTAACTCTGGATCTAGTTTCCGTTTGTATGGGTTAGATTTTGTACAAATAAATCTCCGTTGGATGGTAGCTCCATTTTAATGTGGCCTTTCTTAGTAACTTTACAAGCCTGCATTAATAAGCAATATACATCAACTGGTTCAAAATCTAAAACCAGTCCTTTAGCTCCAAGTAAGTGATTTGGTCTAGACTGAAATTACGTAATCGGCCTTCTGCACCCCTTACCGATCAATTTTGTAGCTAGTCACAGCAAGAGCTGCTCTTTGTTAGATATTTGGAAACCCAGCAAAAACAGCAAATGCACTGGAATTGACATAACTCGGGCAACTCTGAACCAGTCTCTCAGTCCAGGAAGAATATGCTGACCCTATATAATGTCGGAATAATCATAGCGCTTTCCTTCTGATGTCAAAAGCAGATGAAGGTATTGACAGTGGGCGAATTGTGATCTCTGTGAAAGGGTATAAAATACCTTCACAGAGTTACACTTACACATTACTTAGCATGCATGTGCCTAACATGACAAAATCTATCTGATGCTAGGTCTACTTTAAAGAAAAAAATCAGCTGGTGTTGTTTGCACAGACTGAACATTATTTCTAAAGAGGAAGTGATTTTATAACCTAATTTACAAGCATTGGTCTGCTAAGTGAACAGTGTCATTACAGCAAGAAGAAAATGGCACTACCAGTGTATTTGTGTACACAGGGCAGTAAGTCAAATCCTAGTATAGTGTTTTAAAATGGGCTGTGATAGGAAACACAATGTTAACATGTGGTTTTTATCTGACAGCAAGGCTCATTCACACTAGCCCAGTTATATCATGGAGGCTTGTGTGGTGTGGCAGGTCTGGTGGTTTGCTGGTGTGAAATGCTGTTGCACATCTGGTATGAGTGGGCCCTTAATAAATAAAAAGTGGAATTAAGATAAGCATTTTATATCTGCCTGGAGTTCGGCTGTAACTTTTATTGAAGTCAGGAGGGTATTTTTATATATGGCCTACGCAATGCCGTACAGAAGTACTTTGGGGAAAATTATCTTAACCCAGTGGGGCTACCTGCACTTCAAGGGTTAAGTTCTTGTTTAAGTCTAGGAGTGAAGATAACAAAGGTATACTCACCTGCACCTCAGAACCGACTGGCTGTTAGACCAGTCCCTGAAGCCTCTTTCCCCTCTGCTCCAGTGATGGTGTGTCCCTCTGCATCCTCACGTCCAATACACTGTATAGGACGCGATGACTCACAGGACCTAGACCACCAGAGCAGAGGGGGAGAGAGTCTTCAGGTCTAACAGCCAGCCGGCTATGGGGTTCAGGTGAGTATAACTTTGTTATTTTCGCTCCAAGACAAAAACTAGCACTTAACCCTTGCAGTGTGCAGGTAGCCCCACTACAAAAGTTAAGGTAATTTTCCCCCGGGGTTCTTCTTCAAAAAGACTACCATTGCGGTGAGGATGGTAATGCCTCTGAAAATAGCTATTAATACTCCTACACCACTAACTAAAGCTTCTGACATATTTAAAACACATTTTGCTAGACAACCATCTATGTGCCCTGTTTTCAGGATAGTATTCTTGTATATGGGTTATGGGCAGGATGTTTCCTACGCAGACAGAAATACTTCCACTACCGGTGACAGTAACTCAGATTTTCTAAGTAAAGCAATTAGTTTATTTTTAGCATTTGTATGCAACATAAATGACCTATCACTATATTTCATGATACCCTGGGGGTGCCCATACAGGAAACATAAAAAAACAAAAATGTATGTAGACAGAGTCCTCTGTAGATATTGAACCTATTACCTTACAGAATGAGTGCTAACCATTATGCCATTGTGCTGCCTACTCTACAGGGGCATATTTTTAAAGCAGTAAATGTTACAATCACCAACCGTTCTCTGAAGGTGAATCTCCCTAGTACATGCGCTTTAAATTACAGTGATTTATTCATCTAGAATTAATGTTCCTATATGGCTAAAAGTTTGTGGAACCTGGTTGGATATCACATTCCAAAACCATGGGTATTAACATAAGGTTAGCCACCCCTTTAAAGCTATACCTCCACTATTTTGTGAAGGCTTTCTAGAAGATTTTGGAGTGTGTCTGTGTGAATTTGTAGTCTCAGGTAGTAATGTTTATGGCTTACAAGATAAGCATTCCAATTAATCACAAAAGGTGTTCAGTAGGGCTCTGTAAAGGCCAATGGAGTTCTTCTACACCAAAGTCATCAAACCATGTCTTTATGGAGCTTGCTATGTGCACAGGGGCAGCTATATTGGAACACGAAAAGGCGTGCCCAAAATTGTTGTTTAAATAAAAGTTTCTGTGATTGGAGTTCAGCTTTAAAAAGTCAGACAGAGACAGGTGAGTAGCTTTTTCATAAGAAGACCAGACATAGCAGAGCCATATTTTTCTCATGACATCGCCCCTTTCAGAACTACTTGTTGAAAGTCTTCTGAAGCCTTCTGGCAGTTTTCTATAAAGTGACAGTCCACACTCCTATTATTATCTGTGTTTAATATCCCCAAACTTGAGCAGAAGGTGCTCTTTAAAAGCTTACTGCATACACTGCTGTTATGCATGCTAAAGACCTTGTGTGCAAGGCATTCGAGCGGACAGATAAATGGATAATGATATCTTATAATTGTACCTGCTCCAAATAAATATCTACGAAAGTACGTTTTTAATCCTAAATCCTATTGCTCGACACCCTGGACAGTGTTTTTTTTCTACATTTAGTCCTGCTGCGGACAAGCAGGGTTAAATGTAGAGCAGGGGAGCTGCCGCTCGTTTTGTGCTGGCTTTTGGCAGCCAGCTTGCTCCCCGCACACACACCTGCCCACGGTGGTTTTCGGGGTCTTTTCTGGAAGACCCAGGACCATGGCAAATGATTTCAGGATGCAGAGCGGGGAGGATGGAGAACATCCGTTCTCCGATCTGCTCTCTGTGATCAGTAAGACCTGAGTGCTAAACTCACACCACTTCCTGTTGCTCTGTGTGATCAGTGAGACTGGAGCACTGTACTCACACCACTTCCTGTCTCAGCTGTCATAATTTTTTTTCCAATTTCCACACCCCTGAGGGGTCTACCAAATTTGTCTGCAAAAGTAAAGATACACTTTAAAATAAAGTAATACACAAGAAACAAAAGAAATGATTTTAAACCCTACCTCCGAAGGGGTTTATTTGACGAGTTTTTCGGGCAAGGATGGCTTCTCTCACTTCTTTTCTCCGAACACACTGTATGCCCAAATTCTGAAAGCTGATTGAGATAGAACAGATCAGAATGAAACCCTTTCTACAATTTTGCATTTAGGAGTCAAGTGGTAGGAATTGTATTTAATCTATTTCATGGAAAGTCCACTCAATATGTTATTTCTGTGTTGGATTGATACTTGTGGGCTGAATCACTGACTTTCATACCAGTACAATGATGCAAATATTTCAACATCCAGTTTACAGATTCCCCTAGCTCCTGCACTCATCAAGCAGAAATCTTATTGACCTGGTTCTATATTTTTGATTACAGTAATTTTTATTGAAGTTTCAAACTGGAGAAGTTAGACTAATAAAATATGCCAAAGGTGCTTTACAAATATGGCATATACAACAGTGGGCTGCTATCCCTACACTTGTAGGATGCATTGTATATATATATAGCAAGATATTTCACTGTATGCTCAAGGATGGAATGATTTTGTCACGTTGTAAGTAAAATGAAACAGATTGTGCAATCTTTTGCAAGACAGGCAGTATTACTGGCAGGAAATGTCATTGCAATAAAGCAGACATACTCACCATAGCACTCTACGATCAGCTCCAAACTCTGTTTCGTAATAACCATCTCTGCAGTCCTTGCCCACCAAATCATGTGGATGTGGTCTGTATGGCTCATTCTTTGTTACCAAAGTGACTTTTACTTTGCCTTTAACATTATAATTCAAATTCTGCAACTGAAAAGATGACAGAGGAAAACATTATGATGCTGCTTAGGCATTGAGAACGCTATGTAAATTAATGCACAAACATTGCAGCAACCATGGTTTCCAACACACAGGTGTATGTAGGTGCTTGCCAAGAGTTGCCCACGCTCCAACTGTAAAGCTTGAAGAAAAAAAAACACATCATGCTCTTCACTAATACAAAGTTTTAATCCATAGCGCTTGCAACTTCCAGCATGACAGAACTCGTCACCCAGTGGGTGCCCCACTCTAACGCATTTCACCTATGAAGGCTTAATCTCTAAGACATAGAGGTATTAGTGAAGAGCGGTGTGTGTATTTAGAGATTAAGTTAGTAAATTCCTATTAAAAAAGTGTAGAATAATGCAATTTTTTTTATATCCCTTTATGGATATTCACTATGATCCTGTATTATTTGAGCACAGCTTAAATCTTCAGGTTTTAAAACATAAAGCAAAGTCAGGGTTAATAAAATGTTTGGTTTTTTTGCTTTAAAATGGCCCCAGTGTCATCCCTATACTGTACATCCCTTCCCTGGCTTTTCTACCTATACTGATTCTATCATGAGGCTGCTGTGAACTGCACTATGCGTGACCTGCAACAGGTATGCATCTTCACCTACCACCATTTCTGTATGCATAGGTGGTGCCATTCATAGAAACCAGCAAAATTTAAAAAGGTTGCACGAGACAAAAGGCAAAAAAAAAAACATGAAAAGCTTTGGTTAGCATGGATACTCAGACAAACATGTGGGAAACTGTCATATCTGCAATTTGATTTTGATTGGTATTTATGAATAAATTGTTTTATTGACTCTTTGAACATATACATTGGAAATTTGCATACAGTATTTGTAATTTTGTACCATTATTAAAGAAATGTTTTTAAAAGGAGAGTTTAAAAAAAGAAACATGAAAAGAAGAAAATGGTAAAAAAAATGATATATTAAAAAATGGAGACTTGCATACTCAAGCATCAAAATGGAGCACCCTGCAAGTCTTAAATTACTTCAAGTGCATTTCACCAACTGCAACAACATAATAGCCAAATTGCCTAAAGCGTGTTAAGCTGAATTCCATTGCCTGCTCTTTGTTGTTGTACAAAACATGAGCTAAAGTATTGAACTGGTATGTTGCTGAACTGTGCTGGCTTCTCAAGGAAGAGCAGTGAATGCTTCATCTGGAGAGCCTAGTGACACTTGTGTGGGTGCCCACAATTACCAGCTACTGATTGTTTTTATATGGGCAGCATAGTGCCAGTCAGGCAAACCCTTGGGAAACATACAGCTTGTAACAGTGTATTATCGGACGTGTGCTTGGGTTCCAGTCCAGAGTTTTCTGATTCCCCCCGTCTCTTCCCCATATCATATGCCCTATAAGGGTGCTCAGTCTATTCTTTTTTAGAATTTCAGTAATACTATTGTTATTTTGTGCAAACAGCAATGATGTGCAGTCACCCATAGCACCCTACAACAGTTTAGAGAAGTCAGATTAATGAACAATGATTTCAGATTTGTTGCTATGAGTTTCTGCACTTTGCATAATGCTTTTTGACCGTATTAAATAAGCCAAAAGAGGCTTAAAGCAAAAGGTATTGGGGACTTGTAATCTAAAGGGCACTGCATATTGAAAACAGAAATGTTAAAGCTGACATATAGAATATATGGGGGAACTTGAATCAATCTGAACATCCCACCTCTACATGGTTGGCTTCCTACAGATGGCTTCCTGTGAGAAATAGAGTGGGGCGGAACATTTGAGCTATTTACCTTCACAATACGCTGTATTAGACTCTATTTATGTCCAACCCACATTTAATACTGTGTGTGCTGTGGTTGGAGCTCAATCATAACACCCCCTTCATTTGTGAAAATAGAAAAAGTTGTGTGGCTGCCTGTCCCACCTGGGAGTACAACAGACATGTGCTACTGACTTTTAAATCAGCGCTGTGTTACATTATACATTTAAACAAAAAAAGGAAATATTGGATACAGGTTAATATGTTATTGATTGATGCTCCTTTTCATATACTCTCCTGAATGGCAAAGGGACAGGTTCTCTTGTAAGGCCCCCTATCCCTCCACACAAACACACTGATACTCCTGGGTGATACTCCTGGGTAAGCCACAAGTTGGATGGCATGCGAGTTTACAAATATGTCATTTATTCTTCCTCCTGGAGCAGCGTGGGAGCACAGCAAAGCAGATGTGGGCTGTCCTTGCAAAGAAACTGGTAACTTTGCCAATTTGTTCTCTTTAAGTCAATAGTACAGGGAAATAGCAAAATGTTTCTAAATTGTGGATCTTTCTTCATAGAACAACCAAGATTAATATACAGGCATATTGTACTAATGATAGTACAGTACAATTAATCGAATCCTTAAAAAGGAGAACTATGGGGTCAGGGCTTTTCCCCATAGTTCTCCTAAGGGTTACGGGAGAACACAAACTAGCGTTCTCCCGTGACCCGAAAGCTTAGTATACCGTGAGCTACAACTCACGGTATACTGAGGCGCCGCAGCCGGGACGGATCCCGACAATATTGTCTGGATCCACCCAGCTGCGGGATTGACAGCTGGCTCTGCCTATCCAGAGGTAGAGCCAGCTGTGCCCGCCCCCTCCCTTGTCAGTTTCGCCAGTCAGCACTGGAGGATTGGACAGGGGAGGGGGGGGGGAATCCCTGCAGGGACCTGAATCACTCGCCTCATAATTCTCCTTTAACTCGAATTTTGACCGAGTGCTGTTCATGTATTTTGACTGCACTGCAGTCACTGTTTGTGCTGGTTGTCAGAATTCAACAGCCAGCAGGGGAGATTTCCCCATCCATGCTATTTAGAGTGTATGGGGACACCAAGCCTTTTCTCTCAGTCAGTTCATATATGGCCAGCTTAAGTGGTGTTTACTTATATCTAGTTAGTTTTCAGCATTAAAGTAAAAATAAATTACTTGGCCACTAAAAAACCCTAGGTACCCCTGATAACAGACCTTATAGCTCTGAAATTTGGTGTATATTTGAATTCCCTTGGTATAGAACTGTAATGACAAGGTGAAAATGACCAGAGATCTCCCAGGCAAAAACCTTTTGGTGTTTTAAAAAAAAAATAATGATCCCCACATACACAATCTAACTATTGTGTGAAGCTAAGAAACACACTGGTTTAACTTACTACCCAAAACCTAATTCATCACTGATATTATTACCTGGATAGATGGGTATGAGCGGTTATTTTCTGTGCTGCGTTCACCAAGAATGCTACCAGCCGATCGGCCTTCACATTTGTATCTGAATCTCATCCCTCTTTGCCTGGGTTGTTCAAATATTTCTATGTAGGGTTCATGTCCGCCTGAAATTAATAAAACCACAAATAAGTAATCACATCAAAATGCAAAGAGATACGAAAACAACCTATACTTGTTCATGTCTCATCACTGTAAAGTTTCTCCAACTTCCTTCTTATCTCATGCTTAGATCTGTATCATTCTGTAGCAGGAACTAATCCTGATAATGTTCTGATTTTAGAACAGTTGCAGTGTTACTTGGTCTAGGTTGCATTAGCAGTTCACTGACTGCTGGCAGTTTAATTGCTCTTTAAAAGCAACACTTTCCATTCCCTATCTAAGGAAAACGGCTGTCATATACTAAATAGGTAACCTAAAAATAGCATGTTGTTGCAAATTTCCCTGACGAGGGCATTTTTTAGAAGAATTGGTCACACTGTCAATCAATATGTTACTTACAGGGAAGAGAAGACAGAGGGGGCGCCTTTCCTGGTGCAGATCAAATTTGGGGGCCCCTCTGTCTTCTCTTCCCAGATTTCGCAGCTTTCCCGGCTTTCTCTGGGGGCAGCATCCTGCAGTAAGCCTAAGAGGATTTCCCAGTGAGGAGAGATTGTTTGCAGCGCTTTATTGCTTTGAATATGTTACTTACAACACAAAGACATTGTGCCTTTAGTAACACTGACAATTAGTAGAGAATCGTCAAGAGGGACAGGAGAGTCATGTAAGCAGATCAAGAAATGGGCAGGGAGGCAATGGAGGACTTACTGTCATATTTTTGCTAAGTAGTCAAGATTTAAATTAGACATAGTGTATATTCCTGATATTGTTGCTTAACCCAAGTAACAATGGGTTGTGTGGGAAAATTAGAAGCAGCATTATATGAAACTAACAATGTTTGCATAATTGCTGAATGAAAATCTTTGTTTTAAAAGAAAAACATATTCTACTTACCTAAAAGTGTGTTCTGCATCATTACATGATGACCTATCAGGAAAGAAAAAGATTTGATTAGCAGAGGAATGGTTGCATATAGTTACAGTGCATAAATTAAATCGGTCCCAGTTGAAATCAAGAGTAGACTAAAGCTCATCACACAGCATAAAATCTGACAGTACAATCTCCTTTTGAGGGGCCCGTGTGCCTAAATACACATCGATTAGATAGTTTAGGTAGATCCTCATATTGGTAAATCTAAAGCTGATTGCACTCTGCACGTCTAGTGGTCTTAGTCTGCTAGAGTTCTCGTAGAGTCTTTGCTGATCTTTATTCACTGGTTGGTTCTTCACGTAACTCAACCAGTCACCGGTACAGCAACATCTGACGCAATGAAATTTACTGGTTTATACAAGGAGTGAAGGGTCAGAGTTGTGCTGATCATTGTCATTTGTTTAAAAAAAAAAAAAGAAAAAACAGATTGCACAAAGATTGTACGGTGAAATTGTAATGTGTTTTGTCAGCATTAGTTAACACATCCGTGTGGAGCAAGAGTTCAGACAGTTATAGTTGGAGTATGTATATTCTTTCAGGTGTCAGAACCTATTTGTGGGTTTCGCAGATATATTTATTTCATTCTACTGAGTTTGAAAGCACACCCTATGGGGTCTCAAGCACTGGATGATGAGGGCCCACTAAACAAAATGTACACTTGGGGCCATCATTAAAATAGCATCTCTGTATTATGCCCATATGACATTGCAGATTCTGTTGTTGGCGATACCTTAATTTCCCTAAAAAGAAAGTCACCCCCCTGGTTTGTTGTAACTGCTGAATCATGATCGCTGGTGATGGAGCAGCAACAAAGCAAACATAACAGGAGAAGTTCTTGGCGCATAGACATAACGGTATGTAGGGCTGAGCATGCAACATCACTCTTCTCAGCTGCCTTTTGTCACCTGCGACATTGTGAGTACCTGTTTTTATTCAATAAATTGTATTTTTTGGACGATAGGCACTATGTCCTCTTTATATTTTGTCTCCCTCTGAAACGATGATGTTATTTGCGAGGAGGTTATCTGGTCTTCATTCATACGGGCTTCCATCCCCTATTAAGAAGGGAAATGTGCTGTGAGACCTAGTTCTGTGGGTCTATCTCCCCAGGTTAGCACGGTTCCAATTTTTGCATTCACTGGGTGGAGGTGAAGGTCTGTCAGGATCCTGTGGCAACTGCTTACTTGGAAGTTTGAATCTATCTAGTGGTGGACCATCCCCTGCATTTGTTTGCACGATTTTAATTGTTGCACATTGGACTTTGTTTTTATTACTCTGTTCTTATCTTTTCATGTTTTGATGTGCTCTTTTGAATATATTTTTTAAAGCATATACTTATATATCATATTGTTATATCACATATTTCACTGAATTGTATATATTTATTTAGCTCGGCACATGATTGTTATACATGTTTTAGATATTTTTCTTGAGTGCCTAGAAGCTCTTATTTGCATTTATTTACTGGCGCTGATAACATATTGTTTCTATAGCAGTAGAAGGTCTTAGCGATAATGAAAGAAAGAAAAGAGAGGGCCCACAAATTTCATGTAAAACCAACGGCACATCTATTAGAATTAACTAAATATTCCACTTACATACACAATGGGGAAGTAGCACTTAAAAGCAAGTGTCACTGTCTAGCAGCTGAAATCCTCTTAGCCATGGCCAGCGGTAGAGGAGATAGTCCAGATGACTATAAACAGAAGCCTACCACTTCCAGGTCAAGGTAACTATGGCAACATGTTTTGGGGTTACTACTCCTTTCTCAAGTTTCTTTCTTCATGGTTCTTTTTTCCTTGGACTTTAGGTTTTAAGTAATACTATTTCTAATTTTACATTTTTACAGTCCTTTACGCTGATTATTATTTGTTCATAAGTCTTAGTGATCACTGGTGAGCAAGGGTTTAATATCCAAAGATGGCTATGCAACTGCTATGGACCCCATAAGTGCAGGGGGACTAGCACAGTATGTGGCTTCACAGTGATTTATGCAGGCAGAAATATATACCGGTATTAGCAAATAGAAGACAGTACTGTATCTATAGTTTTCAAAGGGAGTTAGAGAGGAAGATGGTCCTTTAGATCAATGCTCCCCAACCTTTTTATTGCCGCGGACCGGTCAACGTTTGATAATTTTACCGTGGCCCGCTGAGGGGGGGACGTTGATTGTTTATATTTTAGATTGTTTTGATTTAATAATTTTAATTTCATTTCATTTAAAAATGCCTTCAAAATAAAATACAGTTACACCAAAAAATGAAAGCGTTGGAATTCTTCACCTATTCCACCACCGAAAAACTGGGCGAGATTACGTTAAAATGTGTGACCACGTCACTGGTCACACGTTCTAACGTAGTCTCAAACTTTGATAGATCACATGCCTACCTGTAATCATTTAATCAGAGAAATAGATTATAATGGGGAACATTACAGTGTAATATTCCCCATTATAATCCACGTCTAATGACATGATGTAAGACACCCCCCCTTCCCCCGCTCAGACTCACCCTTCCAGGAGCAGCAGCCATGTGTCGATGTGTGCACTCACTGCAGGGGGCGGGGCGTGTGACACACACGTCTCTTGTGACTCACCTCCCCTCCTGCCGCCTGTTACTATAGACGCGGCCGGGAGGGGAGGTGAGTCACAGGACCCGCCCCCTCACTGTGAAGCCCGTCGGCAGTACGGGGCCCCGGTGTTCAAACACCGGGACCGTGCACTGCCATATATTGAATGACCGGACCGCACTGAGACTGTGCGGCCCGGTACCATTTGATCCGCGGACCGGTACCGGTCCGTGGACCGGGGGTTGGGGAACACTGCTTTAGATGGTAGACCTTAGCACAGCCGAAACAACCAATGGGTGGATTCTAGTGGCTTGAATCATGTATTGGCTTCTTATCTTTAACTATTCCAGTGGCACGAAGACCTAACCAGGGTTTATAGCTCAGTCTTGTATCCAAGTACTCTACCTCAACCTGCTAAAGTCTCCATTTTATTAGATAGATCAAAAAGTCAGTTAAGTTCAACAGGGATTTGTTTTATTGGATCTGGCTGAGTTTGGAAACGTAAGCAAAGAGATTAACTGCTGTCTTCCCAAACAGATGTAAGACAATGGATAATCTGATGGCACCTTTCCAAAAATGAAACTATTTTTGATTGGACTGTTCCAATACAGGGCAGTAAAGAACGTTCACAATTCTAAAGGAACTATTAGGGATTTTAGAATAGAAAAACAGAGATGTTTCTTATATCAGAAGTCAGGGAACTCAAGGTGAAGAAGTATTAGCTCATTCATAAAACTGCCTTCGGCATGACTAAGTTCTACTGTAGGAGGATATGAGAAAGACTGTATAAAAACAGGTACAATGAAACACAGATGAAAGAGCATTGCAGCTATTTTTAGCTCGGTGACATAACATGCATGGGTTAACATGGTAGGTGGGGGGTAACGCGTATTCATGAATGCACAAGTAATCTATCCCACTGATTTTTTTTTACATTTTGAGATTTACAAAATGTTTAACTTAATGGTTCAACTGTATGCAGGGATAAGGAAAACGTAAAACTTCTAAGTGAAGTTAGCACCTGAATAGGCAACATACTATAGCCCCAGTGCAATATGTCTTAAAAACCACATATTTTTCAGTGCACACCATCTATTGTGTATTTGTCCCCTATTCCTCTAGCAATCATGTAAGTGTTAACATTTTAAAAGAGTGACTTGTGGTGCAACATATCCTCCTTGTGTCACAACTGAGTAGGTATGAGCCAGGAAAAAAATCGAGCTCTATTTTGTAAAGTGCGCTGTGAGCCTGCATGATACAGTGGAGGGGTTGGAAAAAGGTACATGGCTTTCAAGGTAGTCGCATACTGCTTACTAACTGCAAGGAAAGTCAGTAACATATACAAAATTTGGCACTGGCCACAATCGGAGTCACATGTGGATGGAATAGCCTGTTTATGTCAGTGTAAAAAGCAAAATGGAAAATGTGCACAAAGCTTTATTTAGTTATTGTTCACCTGTAAACAGCAACCATGTTGGGTGTATTTGTTTAACGTTCTTAAATGAAATTAAAGATTTATTTTCCAAAATAGGTTCTTTAGCAGATGCTAGAATCTTCAATGCACAGAGTTGTGGTAGAGACTGTAGGGCAAGCAACAAAATCCCTTTTCGAACTCCTTTTACACGTCAGTCATGCTCACTAATGACACTCACTCTGCTCATTCTCAGGTGTGATTACATGCAGTAAGCACCACTGCACTCCAAAAAATTCCCCAGCTTGTTCCAGCAATCCCTTGTGTCTGATGGCAGGCTTTGGGAAAAGGCAGGTAGGGACAGGGGAGGACATGCAACATGCAAAGCAGCATAGGGGGGCACACCAAAAGGCACCAGTAAATGACAAAGGCACAACAGCTTACAGAAAGATCCACCAAATGTAGAATGATATCCACAATGGGGGATTAGGTGGAGGTTCTTCTTTAAGCACTATTCACACCTAAACCCACACTGAACCATCTTATAAAACTTAAAAAACAATAAATGGTGTGGTTTACTAACAAACCTACAAATGTTCCCTCAAATAAGCCTTTTGCCTTCTTGTTTCATACAGACATGAGTTGACCATTTAGTGCTATTCTTGGCATGAGCCAAACAGAGAATGGGGTATAATATGGACCTGTCCAAGAAATGCATAAGATGAGACCCCTAATGACCCTTGTACAGAGCTTTAGCTTTTTATGTATGGGGGCTGGGGGGCTATAATTTTTTTTACCTGCAACAACACTGCTAAGAAAAGTCAGAATAAATGCATGTATCTTTCATCCTTCATATTCCTTTATAGATATGCATGTAAGCGTTAAATTGTTTTGTTATTGAGGCAAACCTGGATCATTGCCAATCTACTCTTTTGTATATTTACGGGAACTGAAGTTCAAAGAATGCAGTCAAGCCAGCACTGGCACATTTCACAATGTCAGAAAGCAGGTTATGTAT